AACTGCTTTGATAGTTAACTGTGTCAAAGACAGAAAGAGAGAATGTCACAAAGAGTTATTTTGTTTGTTCAACTTGTTATGTAAGTAACTGCATCTGTGTTCATCCCAGATACCAGTGTCCTGGTGTTGAAATCCCTAAACGCCTCTTCACTGAGGAGAAGGATTTTGGAGAATTTCTTGATACTGCTCGGCTCTGAAGCACTCTCGACGGTGGGTCCAACGGCTGTTGGAAACACCAGATGGGGTCAGGATTCATATTTCCACTCGGAACATGTGATAGTGATATTTGTCTGTTTTTTTTTTTCGAAATAAATTTATTTCCAAATGCGATCAATGCTCAGTGCCAAAGAATTTTTCAACATGTTATTCTTTTCCACAGCTGAGTAATGCTCTGCAGCTGATGTTTGTGTTGTATTCTTAGCACTGACAGCGTGTTAACTCTTCCCAGCAGATGAGGGAACCCTCATGATTCACAGTACAGCCTGCACATGGATATCGACCAGGCTGCTCTCTGAACAGTTTGGACAAATGATCTTGTTTGTTTCCAGGTTTGGTTTAGCTTTGTAAGAATGTATGACTGTATATCACGTCTGTGTGTATGTGTTTGAATATATTAAAGCAAAAAAAAGCATCAGAGAAACTTTAGATTTTGTTTGGCTGATACTAGCTATCTAAAAACACAGTTTAAAGCAATTCAGGATTACACCAGTTTGAATAAAATGAAGGAATAATAAAATAGATGATCAATAAAAATCTCTCTGTATGATCTCATTAGGCAATTTAATTAGAACCGGATTTTCGGTTTTCATAAAGCAAACTCCTGTACTCTAAGAGTTCATGTTGTGAGAAAATATTAAACCCTGCTGTGTTTTCTCAGCAGCCTCCTTACATCCACAATCTTCAAATATTAAAGATTAAATCAGGTGGATTAGATGTTTTATGAAGTCGGGAGGAAAGCTTCGCTCCCATAAACCTACTCGGGGGCTACTGCTATTAAATCACAAAAAAAGAAAATTCCGAATAAATCTTATTTTATTCTTCACAAGCTCATGTTGTCATTTTGAAATGTCACCGGTGCCCCCGTGGTCACATTTCTGGCCCTTTCAAGTGACACTTTGTCACCCATAAAGCACTAAATTATGACATTTGGAAAGGTCCAATTCTCCCTAGAGGGGGTTTTCACATGCAATTACTGTTTTATGCTGACCACTCCTGCTCTGAAGTGTTCTGTGGTCAGGGTACATACAGTTGAGGTCATGTCAGAGAATACGCACCGTGACATAAATTATTTTGATGACACTAACAGATTTGGACATGTAGCAAGACAACATCGAAGCACATGAATGTTGAAGGACCACTTCGCTGATTTAAATTCCTTTCATGTACTTCTAATGGTGTGATATACACTAAAATAAATCCTGCAATCACAGGTCAAGCAGCACAAATAAAGACTTTGTTTTCCTGTATCCAAAGTCTCAGTGCAATGTGGTTAATGATTACAGGTCTGGGGCCCACAGCAAGTCTTTGCAGCTATTGCATTCCCTGTGAGTGCACCATCATAATATAAAGCCCTTTTACAACATCCAAAGAGCACCTTTTTTCCGGCAGGAAAACAAACTTGATTGGGAGCATTAACCTCGTGAAGGGAGGCAGCACCCACCCCACCCTTCCCTTTACAGTTATGGACCCCCGACAGAGCGACATAAAGCCCAGGAAGGGAGAGGCTGCAAGGACACATGTTCCACACGTTCCTTCCGACCATCACAAGAAACTAGTGTATCGCTATCTGTTTGCTCAGGAGTCTAGAGTCAACTGCTGGGGGGAAGCGGCAGGAAGGTTTCAATCAAGATAATACATGAAAGTTTGGAGTTGTACCAAGTCGTTGATAGTTAACCACGTCAGAGGAAAAAGAGTCTCAGTTCCTGTTCCTGCCTTCTATAACAAAGGTTAAAGGTCACATAAACCCAGTTCATTAAAGGTTACAGCTCACATATTGTTCCGAGCAAATGTGCACGTCTTGAAGTGCACTTAAAGCATACACACAGGAATTCTCTCCTACGTGGAATTAGCATACCATTTCTCCTGCAGATTAGCAATTGTAATATAGGAGGCTGATTTTCAGTGGGTTGTTCATTGGATCTGAGCTCGCCGTTGGTTTACCAGATAATTAATTCGTAGTCGGTAAATGATGCACTTCAAAAGACCGTTAAACAAGTTCAAACATGTTTAATTCACACTGCTGTGTGGCTGTTAATTAGCTACCTGCAACAGCTAAATCGTAACCTGCAGGGACACATTTGAAAGTGCTGATGAAGCCATATGCCACCTTAGAGAAAAAGTAATACCTTGTGGGAACAAATATTCATTTAAACAATACTCTGACCGAAAAAAAAAGACCAACACAGACCAATTTAGCAGCCGGGAATGGAATTGATTAGTCTTCAACTTTTCAACCAAAGATATTTTTAAATTGTCTTCACAGATGACTGAGATGCAGGAATGCATGTAACGAGGACCGCAGACCATACAGACCATATACGCCATGAAGAAGTGGAATATGTACAGTGCATTTTGATCATCCAAATAAATTCTGTATGTTTTAGCCATTAAATGTGGAGGGGCCCACTCTACGCCCATAAGATGAGATGGTATTACAGAAAAGCAAGACTTAAAGCTCAATCTACAACTTAAGGCTGTGAATCATCTTTAAAGCAGTAATGGAGTACAGTACTGGTAGTACTGGTTATTCTGGATTGTTGTTAAGATGCATATGTCAACAATGGGCAATAGAGAACAGCTTGACAGCATCCTGAAGTCACATTCCTGAGCTGCACTTAACCTAAGAAGGTGTCTTTAATGGGGACCTCCAGTGAGCAGAGGCCTATAGACTGAAATGATGTGCTTGGTGTTGGAGCTGTTTACAGTAAAGGTGAAGAATGTGTCTTTATGTCAGCTGCAAGAGAAAGAATGAACCCTCTTAAAGACAAAGCAGAAATGCATCAACCATATAAGTGCCATAAATCAACCCTGTGTTATTGTTTCACCGATAGTTAAAAAGATAATTGTCGCTTATTGAGCTGTAGTGAATCTTCCCTGGACTCCCACATCAACTCTGCTCTCAAGACATCATGAAGGACTTCTGTATGCACAGACTTATGGGATAAAAACCCCTTGCAGACATGGTACTGGTCCACAAAATGACTGTCAAAGCCAGAAGCTGTTTTACTACCTTCCTCTGAGACTCTGGAGGCCCCAGTTCTTTATGAAGCCAACTTACTCTACATCAGCCCGACTCAAAAATTGAATATATCATCTTCCTGTCTGCCAGAGTACACCGTGCCACCAGTGTTTCCATCATTGCTGCAGTAAATGCAAACAGTGGGTAAAACTCGTAAATGTCAGATTCTGTTTAGCCAATCTGGTTATAGAGTGTGGCTCTTTGTCGGCTGAGCAGTGTGCTGCAGAGGCTTTTTAAAACCTCAGCCATCTGCTTCTTATAAATCACAACAACTTACACATCCCATCTGAAAATAATCATACCATTTCAGTGGCAACAAATCAAATCAAGAAGAATATATATATATATATACTGTATATATATATATATATATGTATATATAAATGTGCCAGTACCAAACCCTTGATCTCTGAAGAGTTATAGAGACACCAAACTGTAGGAGATAAATGCCATTAGGTATAGGATTATGCAGGTATTGTGAGACATCTAAGACTAATTAAAACTTGTGTCAAATAACCATATCTTAGAGATGACATGATCAATTTTGTTTGTATGACATCACAGTTGACGTCATTGAGTGGGATGCAGGTGAGCAATGACTGGAGAAATAATAAATGTAGTAAATAATATGAGATTTTATTTATGAAATTGAATTATTCACGACTAAAGTGTTTTGTTTACAAGCATTTTATACACCTGCACTAAGATTTAGTTTTCATGGAAACCTATTGGCTTGTTTTGTCTGTTTTGTTGTTTGTTCTTTCTAAGTTGGTGTCAGGTAACGTGGGACAATGAAGGCTTTTCCAAAGGTACGAGTGCTACTGACCTTTTCTTCAATTATTATCATTGCAAGAGGTTTTCTTCCTTCATTACAGGTATCTGGCAGACAATACTTTGCAGGCTAACTTGCTCCCCATCCGGCCGACGGATTGAATCAGTAAAATCTATTTTTTTAAAGCCCAGACAACTTTATATCATTGAATGCCTGTGTCCTTGCAGCACCAAGCGTGACAAAACGTTTCTTCTACGGGGCCATCAAACTATATCTATCCGGTCATACTCGGTAACTTATATTTACAGTGTTGGGACAGCAGAAAGAGACAAATTTAAGGTCAACAAGAAATCTGTGAAATCTCAGAGAGGCGTTAAATTGTGAAACCATGTGGCTAAATACAGAGAGAAATAGAAGCAAAGGGTATGTTGGGATAATTTGAAGAAGGGATTCAAAGGGTTTGGCAATTTATGCCTTTTACACCATTACGCAAACGGTGTGTCCCACATTAGTTGGGGCCTTGTTAATGTGTTCCACATGATACAATACACTGGTTATGACCAAACAGTATTACCCAACAAAGAACCTTGTTTGGTTTTTAGGTTGTGTTCACATAACTTCTTGTTATGACAGTTCCTTGCCGATATGAGCTTTGCGCCATCTAGAGCCAAGAAGGGGGAAACGTCTATTTTGAAGGCGGAAGTTTGACACCACAGGTGCATCAAGTTAACAACTGACACTAGTGTAAGACCGGAAGTGAGGATGTTTTGCATAAAATATTACTATTCGACACAGCAAGAAAAATAATATTTGATTAAAGTCATTTAAAAATGCTGACTTGTTTGACCTGAAAGATTGTAGCTGCAAATGTATTGACAAAGCAAAACTTGAATTATTTACTTTCTTCCTGTTTCCTTTTTATCCTTATTCCTTTGCTTTATTTTGAAGGGTATCGTCGGAAGTTGTGCTTCATGTTGTGGTTAACTGGTGTTCGCTGGCTGGCTGCATGCAGAGACAGTAACAGCAGCATGGCTTACAGTGCGAAGATCGGTCCGTCCATCCTGAGCAGCGACCTGTCCTGTTTGGGCAGCGAGTGCGTGCGGATGATGGACTGCGGGGCAGATTACCTGCACCTCGATGTTATGGACGGGTTGGTTTGTCAGTTGGTTAACGTTAGTTAAGACAAGCTAGCACGCTAACTAGCGAGCCGATTGGGAGTTCAGTGCGTGAGAGCTAAAGTTGGCTAACACCAACAAGCTAAACTAGCTTGCCAAGAAGTTAAGCCGGGAAAGCCAATATTTATGTAACTGGATTTAAATGGCTTAAGTCTGTCGATAATGAGGCTTTCAAACCCTCAGGGTGTCAAACATTATAATGTCTTGCAAGTGTTAACAACATACTTCCTCCTCCTGCTTTCTGGTTTTGTCATTGTTTACCTTCCTCTTCACCTCTGCGTTTGTTTGCAACTGTTCACGCAAGACGAGAGGATTTCATCACATCTGCTTTTGTTTCCCCTTTAAGGCACTTTGTCCCCAACCTCACATTTGGACATCCCATGGTAGAGTGCCTAAGGAAGTCAGTAGGCCAAGACCCTTTCTTTGGTGAGCGAGACTTACCTTAACCTAATAACCCCATTGAATTGAATCCTGAATGCATCTGCTGTGCCTTGTGCAGTATTGTGACAGTGATCATGTTGCAGACATGCACATGATGGTGTCTCGGCCCGAGCAGTGGGTGAAGCCCATGGCTGCAGCAGGAGCCAACCAATACACATTCCACATAGAGTCCACCACCAACCCTGGTAACCTCATCAAAGAGATCAGAGAGAGTGGCATGAAGGTGAGAACATCACGCTGCAGGCTGAGGCATTAGCATCAGTGCTGCATGTAAAAAAAAAAAAAAAGTGAAATATTAGCATTGATCAGCTACATACAAAAGTGCTAAGGCGACTGTATTTTCTATGTCTTCATACTAACACTGTGTGAGCTTTGTAGGTGGGTTTGGCCTTAAAGCCTGGGACTACTGTGGAAGAGCTAGCACCTTGGGCTAACCAGATCGACATGGCTCTGGTCATGACTGTTGAACCTGGCTTTGGAGGCCAGAAGTTCATGGAGGACATGATGCCCAAGGTAAAGTCAAACCACAGGCAAGAGGAAGGAAAAACAGGAACCATACACACCACAACAACATACATTTAGTCCATAGGATGTTTTTGATTTAAACTGTAGCACCGTCTATTTTTTCCGTCCTACTAATGTACTAATTGTGTTGTAGCTATGGTGTTATGCATGTTTCAAGCTCTTTGTTTTATTTCTGTGTGTGTGTCCAGGTGAGCTGGTTGAGGAGTCAGTTCCCATCATTAGACATTGAAGTAGACGGGGGAGTCGGCCCTGACACTATTCACAAGTGTGCAGAGGTAAGGGATTCAAGCGCATATCGCTCACCTAAAATTCCGATCCAGTTTTGTGTGTTTTTAAGTAACTTTATGCTCATTCGTGCTGCAGGCAGGAGCCAACATGATCGTGTCAGGCAGCGCTGTCGTGGGCAGCGACGACCCTCGCTCTGTCATCGCTCTCCTGCGCACCGTGGTGGCTGAAGCAATCCAGAAACGTTCGCTGGACCGCTGAGGTGTCCTCTTTGTGACGAAGCTAACAGCCCATCCCAGCAACAGACTCGACACACACTTTTCTGGGGTTGAGGTCAGGGGTTAGGGTCAGAGCAGGGCACTGATGGCCTAATCCAAATCACTTCGATGTGAGTGACACTGCACCGTGCCTCTACAAAACATTTTGAATTCCATCCTGTCCGACCACAATCGCCTCTCTGAACAGTTAACTGAATTTGAGTCTCATCTCAGCATGCGGGACATCCATTTGAAGACCGGAGCTGAGGTTATGCTTGTTTCACATATGTAAACATTCCAGAATATTGTTTGACACTGTCTTAAATTGATATTATGGAAATAAAATGGTCCAAGGAGCACTGTGTTTAGAAAATCTTCAGTTTCGCGAGTCATTTTCTGACTTCCATCTGAAATCATGTTTCATAAATTCTGTCTCTTTCAGCAGTTTGGTTGAAATGAACCATTCACAACTTGCTGAACTGCTCAGCTTACATATTGTACACTTGTAAATTCAATGAGAAATGCTTTTGCAAATTAAAAAGACTCCAATGAAGTGAAGTATAGATTCTTATAAGTTTGAATTACGACCAAATTGTAAAAGAAAATAGTGTTTGCTGGCCTATTAAATTAAATAACCCACTGATGTTTTTCATTCAGCATGGGGAACGCAGTACACACTTACACATTATCACTGATGTGATGGTACATTATTATTATTTTGAGGTAAAAAAAAAAGAATCCTCAGAATATATCCCTTGTAATGATGTCTTTAGAAAAGGAGGCATACAATATGTGATAATGAATGATAATCTGAAGTGAAACCAGAAGATTATATTCAATTGTTTTTATATAGCCCCATATCACAAATTTGCCTAAGAGGAAATCCTCTGTCCTTGGACCGTCACATCGGGGAAGGAACAACTCCCCCAAGAAACCTTGAACAGGGAAAAAACTATTGAGTGCTTCCTCTCCCAGGATGGACAGAAGTACAATAGATGTAAAACTAGTAACTATGTAACTACATACATTTACTTAAGTATTAAACTTGAGGGGGAAATTGTACTTTTTACTCCACTACATTTCATTGACAGCTAAAGTTACTAGCTACATAGCAAAATGAGATCTTTTAATGATAAGTAAATGATGCTCTTAATTCTTCAGTATTTTACTTACAACTTGAATGTGGGATATAACTTGAAATATGCATAAACTAAGCTGCGTTACTGACTTTTACTCCTTTTTCATACACTAGATGGCGAGTCTGGACAACAAGCATAGCTGCTATCACCTGGGGGGCTCCATGTCAGTGTAAGAAATCATTTAATTAAAGTGTAAGCATTTATTATTCATTTGTAAGCATAGACAAATATTTTTACACAGTTCTAGATTAGAAACGCAGAGCTGTAATCTATAATGCATTCAATTCCGTAGTGGGAACAGCGGCACTAACAGCGTTGCAGAGAATCGGCTGCAGAATGAGTGCCACTGTTGTTTGGCAAAAGGATTTGAAACTTAAGTGTGTTGTGCGACTACAGTACGTGCATACCGACTGTTTCAACTTTTGCCCGTTTTCCTCAGTCAAAATCATCACATTAATAAAGTTGTGTGTTTTTGTTAGTCAAGTGAATCTCGTGCAGTAGCGCTGCCACTGACCATTTAATTGGAATAGAAATAAATGAAATTTAGTGAGTTTCCAAGAATCAATATGTTATATTGTATTCGTTGAGCCAGACTGAGATATAGAAGCCTTTTTCCGGAGGACACCCAGAAACACCACAGACATGTGTGCAGCATCCTCATCTCTTTGAGAGCTGAAAGAATCCCCCCTGTCATCGAGAATCACCCATGACATACTTCCAACTGCAAGCAGCTCGCTCTTAATAATGCAGCATACGTCTTGGAGGCAATTCACGGACCAGTTGAAATATTGATGCCTGAAATCTGTATTTTCATTTCAACGTCACATATAATGGCAGATAATGTCATCATTTTTTGCTCATCCGATCATGCGTTAGAGAGGCGCACACAGGGTTTTGTGCATGTGAGGAGGGAGTTTGTGTATAATACATGTGTCTGTGCCCCATGAGGGAATGTCCTGTGACAGACTCGTGTTCTAATAGATGATGACAGGCGTTTTGTATGCCGGTGTCACTGCCGCCTCGCAAAGACAGGGACACAATTCAATGCGAGGGAGCAGTCGGCACCTACACACGCACCGCGCTCCTTAAGCCATGTCGCAGTCTCATCATCAGTTAATTGACAGTTCCTCTCTCCAGATCACCTTGCACTGTTTACGCGCCTGCTCATTGATTTATTATGAGACTACACATGCAGAGAGGGAAATATGAGCAGCGTGGGGACAAATGAAAGAGTCAAGTGCATGGAGGATGTTCATACAGTGCGAGGCATGGACATGTTTCACATGCTGGGCCCTAACTTATACATCAAAGTCACTCGTGAGAGGCTGTGGTGCCATGGCAACTATATCCACAGGTACTGTCATTTGCGGTTAAAAGCAGTAATAGCTTGGGGATGGCAGGGACGGAGAGAAGAATGATCAGATAACCATCGGCACTTGGCTTTTCCTCCTGATCACCTGTGTGAATCCCTATGTCTTTCACAGCATACACACACACACACACACACACACAGGGAAGGGGGGAGAGAGAGAGAGAGAAAGAGAGAGAAAGAGCAGTTATTGAAAGTCCAGAAAAGATTTTAGACCAAAAATGAGTCAGACAGCCATCGTGTGGAGCTTTTGATCTTCAGAGCAGGGCTGTGAAGGAATATCTCAGTGTGCAGACTTCAACAGAGTACCGCAGGTTGAACAACCCCACAGTGACGGCAGTCAGATCACCAAACAGCAGGTCCCTTGATGGACCGCAGGAGCTACTACTCACTCACAGGAATCATCCAAAGATGCTGTTTGAAGGAGCTGTTTTTCCCAGAGGAACGTGGTTTTTACATTTACTCCCTTATTTATTTCTTCTCTGCTGCCGTTCATTTTGGTCCTTGTGTTCCCTTCTGTGTTCTCTTTGCCTCCGGGATCATTATATAGCAGAATTATATCTTTGTACTTCTCACCTTTAGCACTAAAGGCCCATTAGTGACGTCGCTTCGCCCTCTCATGCTCATTCATAATTACTTGGCTTCCCACAGGAGAACAAGATGCACATCGCTGATTAGCTCGCTGTTGTTACCAGCTTTACTTATGCATAAAGGCCTCATCCTATTGTCTTATTAACAATTAAAAAACAACTTGCTTAGAATAACATAACAGAAGATCTCTTTGCTTTGCCCTGCAGCATGGTGGGTTACTGTACAGACTCTACTGTATATGATGGATAACTGAGCTGTGGTTTAAAGAAGAGGGCCAGTGTCAAAGGGCAGCTATCAGCCCTGCTGCATGCTTCTCTGCTGTGTAAAATGCTTCAAGGCATATACTGTGTTATGCTATGAACTTATCTTTTCCTACAGATGATAATTATTCCTTTGCTTGTATGGATCTCTTACTATACAGCCCAACTCTGCATTGGGTCCAGGATGAGTTCAAGGTAATTAAAGTCAGTACTCCATCCTCTTAGATGTACAATATATCAAAGCCAGGTTTTTAACGACGTGGCTGTAGGGATGGAAATGTCGGTCGGTCCACCACTTTCTTCCAGACTTAAATATCTCAACATCTATGCAGATATTAACAGTCCCCATAACATAGATGATGTTTTGAAGCTTGATCCTCTGACTCCTCCTCTAGCACCACCATGAGGTTGACAGTTGTGGTTTCGAGTAAAATGTCTTCACAACTATTTGATTGATTTCTAAGATATCTTCTAACATTCATGTACCTGAATCCTTGTTAATCCCCTAACTGTTTATTAAGCACGACTATCGGGTCAACATCTTGATTGGTTCAATAGTCTGATTTATGATACCTGCTAAACTCAATCTGGACTTTGTGCTCGGTGTTAATTAGCAAAACAAAAAAAAAAAACACGTATTTGGTGAATTTAGTAAATGAATGTTAGCATTGTCATTGTCATTGTCATTGTGAACATGTTACCACAGCACACTGTTAGCATTTGGCTTCCGTAGCATGGCTGTTTACTCATGCTTAAAAACGCCTCAGGGATAGTTTCATCTGCTGCTGTTCACTGAAGCTTCCTCTGGTAAACCTTAGATAGTGAAAAGTCCTTCATGCATTGACCAAGCTCGAGATCGGCTTTAGTGAGAGAGGTCAGGACAAACCAGCCTTGGAAAATTTCCCCTAATAAATTATACATTTTAGCAAAGGTCATCCCACCTATCAGGTATTTAAATGTTCATTTAAATTCTCACGAAAAGAAATAAAACAATGAATGCCTGGGACGGTTAATTAGCTCGATGTCTGAATCTCTAGGCATCGGCAGGTTCCTCAGAGAATAGAGAGACTAAATGCAGGTCCCAGGGGAGCGTTGCTTTAGTAGCAACCTTTGCATCAGTTTACTCTATCGTAGGAAGAGCCAGTGGAAGTGCACACACAATTTTAGTGTTTATCAATTATGGATAAATGGAGAATATTCCAGTGTGTGTATATCAGTTTGTGTGTTTGTACATTTGTGCATGTTTTTAATCAATAATGAATGATGTGTGGGACCACCAGTATTTGTGTTGCTTTTATGTCAGTAGGTGTCTTGTGCGTTTTGTGCTCCACGTGAATCATGTGATTCCCTTCCTATGATAATCAACACCAAACTCTTTAACGTTTTTTCCAATGAACAGCCGTAACTAACGGGCCCATAATACAACTATTGATTCTTTTTTTTCCCCCTGCATTATTTATACAAATCACACAGCCCTCGAGATTACCGACTGCTGCTAATACATCAAGAGAAAATTGCAGTGCCATTTGCATCAGTACAGGTGGTACATCTGTTTCTCTATACTTTACTTATATCATGTAGAGGCAAACCAGTGCGCTACTCAAGATGTGATGTTAGTTTGTGTATTAACAAGATGGCTCGCTGTTAACAAGTGACTCACACTTACATCACAGTGAGTCATACCACACAAAGCAATGTGAAATCATAGAAAAGTGAGTGCAACAAGCTGCGAGCAGGCCTCAAAAGACTAGTCACACTCTACAAGCCGGTCATTTTGTAGCCTTGCCTCCCTTATCTTTTTAACTCTAAGAACTTAACCTATTAATACATAGTGGATGCTGAGCATTGTGTGGATGCTGAGCATTGTGTGTTTGCAGGCCAACTTGTTTTTTTGTACACAAGCGCTATTCACACCTGTATGCTGTTCAGCTGTATACCAATCTTCATGGATTCTTCTGTGTCCTTGATGTGATGCATCCAAGCTCACCACAGTGAAAGCAGGAGACGACATGTCCTCTCCTTGCATTGTCTTTGGCGCTTCCTCTCTCACTGGCGATAAATCATAATCTATTTGCCTGACTGCTGCTCTGGATCGTTAAGTACTGTCTGCCCATGTGTGCCCTCTGGTGTCTGCATCCGCATCAGCGAGGACCACAGATTTGTGAGTGTTGCTTACTTTTATGCAAAACAGATCTTCCCTCATAGGGTGTGCGCTTGAGAAAATGGGAGACAGAGAACAGAAATCGGCAGGGAAAGTGGGACAGTGCTCAAAGCTTGAGGATTCAGTGTTTTTTTTTTTTGCATCCTGTGAAGTTGTGACGGAGCTGACTGACAATAACATCAGTGGTATCAGTGTGCCTGCGATTAGCGCCGGCAGTATCAATGCATCTCTGAATGTGTGGGCTCTTTTCAGTCAGGACAGATTGTTTTGTCAAGAATCGACCAAAAGCTCTTTCAGGGGAACCTGTATCAGCATCACAACCCAGAAAACAATCCAGTAACTCCACAAGCACACACCAAACAGATGTTTCTTCTAGTGAATGCAGTTTTCCCTTTTGTGGCGCCGTGATTTATTGAATGGTTGGCAGCATTTGTTCTTGGCTTCATTGGGTATCCGTGCATCAATATGAGTTAATATGAATTCATGGGGAGAAGGAGTCAAAAAGCAGTTTATGAATGCCATGGAGTGGTGGAAGAGTGCAGCTTAATGCTGTGGAGTTATGTGGGTACGTTTGTGTTTAAAAGAGAGGCAGGAAGAGTGAGCAAGTCCATCTGCATTGGATGAGTTATGAGTGGCGAGATGTGATTTGCTGAGGTTGTCAAAAAAAGTGCCTGGTTAACTTGCAGGAGGCCTTCTAAGCATTATTTATCCCCCGACATGCTGACCCAATCCTTCTCTCTCTCCCACACACACACACACACACACACACACACACACAACTGAACATGCGGAATAATGAAACTCTCGCGTTGAGGGGCTCAAAGGTCCAAATCCAACATAGACTCAAAAAGACCCTGCCGCCTGCAGGGCATTGACCTTGAGTTCATGGTTAAAGCAGAACTAGATGAGTGGGAAGGATGCTGGTAGTATTTAAATATATCAAGGTTGTTGTGTGAAAATTGGATCGATATGTTGTTTTAGTAACTAATCTCCAAGTTGGTCTCCAATTGATCTCCAAATAGAAATGCAAAAACGCATATAGTTGGAAGGAAAACAGGAAGAAGCACTGAATGTATTTTATTGCAATAAACTGACAATAGCAAAGTGCCTTTTTAATGGCCACGCTGGCAACTATTTGAATAACCAATGAAAAAATAAACAAACCATGGTCATATAAAAAAACACATCACTGAAAATAAAGCACGACTGGCTGAACTGAAAACATCACCACAAACTATGTTACACCTAAATCTGGAGCCAGCACACAGCCGATACATGCAGCCCTCAAAACTCAGCTACAACACTGTCACGTTCGGAGGAATCTTGGGAGGCAGCTATGGATGGTGTTAATATTATTACAACCCCCCCACAAAAAAACACCAGAGTTCAACTGTACATCCCCAATGATGGCGGCAGCGCGGTGACATGATTTCCATGATTTTAAGCGTGTAGGAATATGTGATTTAAACACCGAGGCCGAAGCAGCTGTTCAGTGGCACCATTTCCCAAACCTGCATCTCTGGGAATGTTCAAGATTTATAAAAGGCAATCACTCAGCCATTAAACACACTCCTGTAGTTCTTTTTTTTGATTAGAAATAACTGAAATTAGCTCCCTATTAGCATTTACTGCTAATGCAAATAATAAGATATGCAACCATTGCTGTCAAATCACAGAAGAGCTTTTCCAACAGCTCCATCAATTATTCCTCGTGATACTCGGGCCGGAAAAAAGGAACAGAATGGCTTCCCTGCAGCTTTTATATATATATATATATATATATACACACACTTTGACTTGCAGTAGCATCACATCATATAGCAACAGGAGGCTAAAGACAGTTTACAATAGAAAAAGAGAGGTAGTCCACACACTGACTATTGCAATTTAATGAGGCAACATTGTGACCACGAAGGTCTTCGTTAGGCAAACATCCTTATGTGAGAAAAAAAAGGCAATATGTACAAAGAAAATGACAACTCCACCTCCAATGAGGAGTTCACAACATACTATCACAAACTGTTTTTTCTCACACTCACAATCACAATATTGTACATTTTTCTGTCATAAATGTGTATTTTACAGTATATATATTCTTCGGCTACTAACCAGCTTTAGCATAGTTGCCGTGTGAGATTATGAATAGTGGATCACTTTTTGGCGTATAGGAATGCTCTTCAGCATCATGTGTAAATGCAGCTGGAGTTGTCATTTTATGTTTTTTTTTCTTCCTCTGGATGTTTGACATAGAAAGACTGTGATGGTGGAGATGTTGCCTCATTAAGTGCTTGCGAGCAGGCAAAATGCAGTGTGTGTGTGTGTAACACTCGTCTTTGTCTACTGTGTGCCGCTTTTGTCTGGCACCTTGTACCCCCTGAAAACACTTGTAAACACACGGTTAGTAATGAGTAGACCGACAGCTAATTGATGGGCATTTCCTTTGAAGACGGAATTCGCTGAACGTGCAGAACATTTCTCACTCCCCTGACTAAATAGCACCAGCCTTTACTCAACGTGGAATAGTGGGTGGTCTACTTAAAATGGACCGGTTACCTCGGAAAAAAACAGTGAAGGAAGTGGAAATCACAGAACGTGGTGGTTCAGCGTCAGTATCGGCTACGTACTTTTTGACATAAATCTGTTTAATGAAGTGCTGCATAAAAGCAAACATTAAAAAAGACAAATATGACCAATAATATTAAACACGATCTCCACAACAGCCGTTCTTGAAACGGATTACTTCACAGGTTTCAAAGGGCATCTGGAATTGGCAGTCAAATATTGTAGATGACGAGGGACTGGGCTTTTTTGTTGACTCTTGGCTCAGGAAGTCAGGTGGTGGTGGTGGTGGTGGGGGGGAAATCGGGCACTGCCATGTCACACAAACACAATGCTCAAAGAGTTCAAAGTTTACAAAACATCAAAATTCCTCCTGCAGTATTGTCATGCAATATACATGTCGACACGATTGAGACAAGTTTCTCCAGAGTTTTCATGTCCGGTCTGGCAGTGAAAGGGTTAGGCCCAGGTCGGGGGTGGAGGACTTCACGCCTGGCTGATGATGAATTCCAGGGAAGGGGACACAGATTTTCAAACCCTTCTTTCTTGCATCAGGGGAGCCGAAGGATTTACGCCTTCAGCTACAATCCGTGATTAGAAGACGTCGTAACAGTTCGCTTTCAGCCGTCTTTGATCAAAACGTCCTACCTCCGTGTTTACATCACATTTCACTAAATAAACGCGACTCAAGCAAAAAAGCATTAAGTGAATTCATTTCTGTGACTCGTCTGCTCAACTATTGTACACGTAAAGCCACAGTAACTTTCATTATAGGTATAGATATACAGTGTTTTGACACTGACCAAACTCGACAATCTGGTATGAAATGCTACAGACTGCAATGCGCAGGACAAATCTAGCATTTCTACATCTATCACATTGCCAACACACAGGCTATTGACATAATCGGCTTGGTGCAGTTGCCTGGCAACACAAGCAGCAGAGTTCTTAGAGAATTTCAAAGCAAAAAGAAAAAAAATTTTCAAAGCTATGCAAAGTAGTAAAAAAAACAATAAATAGAAAAATCTTTAAAATAAACACAAAAGTCAAACATTTGCCCCCCGAATGTCGTTTTGTTTTCATATGGTGTGCAGATTACATGAAGTGTTTTCACTACACATCTACACACAGAAATATCCAGTGTGGCTCGTAACAAATCAAAAGTCCTTTTCAAAATCAATTTGCATCTTCTGCTATCTTTAAGGACTGGACGAAGCGGTCCTACTGGGCGACTTAAAGAAATGTGCACGGACCTTCATTTTACTCAATAACCCTGACTGTGAAATCTAAGCAGGACAATTCAACTGATTTAACACGAGTGTAAAAATGTCCCTTTTTGCCCTCAAGGACCATAAACCCACAGCAGGAGGTACGCAGACATATTTACAATCTGCTTCAAAAAAAAAACAATCAGCTTTCTGACTCGCTTTAAAACTTCAAACATCATCTGCAGAGAGAACAGCATGGAAATAAGGAGGACTTGGCACTGAAAAAAAGAAAAGAAAAATCTCTTATTTAAAAGAACGTATACCCTCAGCAGGAGAGCGCTGTTCATTTACGACCCCACCATTTCTGACGTCCCTCCCTCTCCTTCTCTTGTTGTCTCTTTTCGGAGGAGGAGGAGGAGGGTGAAGAAGAGCGGAGCAGTCTCTCACGAAGGCCAGAGTGTCTGGCAGTGTTAAAGTGGCGCGAGAGGACCGGTTTCTGTCTGCCAAGGCAAATTCATTGTGGAGGCAGGTGGGCCAACACACATCCTCACTTAGGACACAGACTTGTGTGTCCTTGCCTTTGTCTCTATGCAGGCTGGCAACCAAGTCATCAGCCACGGACTGAGTCAGTGGGTGCAGAGAATCACTATGGCAACCAACATAGTGGGCCAGGCTGTGAGACTTTTTTGGCTTCCACTCAGTGCCGGAGTCGATTATAGAGTTCGTTCTCTTAAATGCTCTTCCCGGTTTGGCCAATGATCTCAAGTGCACAATTTTGTTTTTTTTTCCTCTCTTGAAAAATAGACAAAATATTTAGAGTCGTAAAAACAAAACGCAGCTATGAGTGTCACAGAAAACAAAAAAAACGAGAGAGGCTCCTTCAAATCGCACTCGCACAATTAATCGTGCTAACATGGCACACGCATTCGAGTCCACGCACACACAGAGGTACGCGCACACACACACACACACACACACACACACACACACACACACACACACAC